GGGCCGGGCCGGCACCTGAAGAAGCGCGCCTGGTGCACGATGTTGTTCTCCTCCATCACCCGCCGCCTGTCCCGCTGCAGCTGCTCGATCCTGCGCTTCTGCGCCTCGGCGGCCTGGACGTTGCCCTCTTCCAGGTACCTGGCGGTCACCGGCCCGCCGCAGTCCAGGGGCTGCCACCGGGCAGACACCCCAGCCCGGGCCCTGCGCCTGCGGCCCGCCCGCCGGGCACTGACCTCTGGTCCGGCCGCAGCCGCGTGTCCGTGGATGGCAGCGTCCGCTTCAGCTCCGCCGTCAGCTCATTCAGCTCCAAGGCGAACTGGGTGAAGCCGAAGTTGCGCTCATGGTCCGGAGGCATTGAGTCTGGGGGAGGCGAGGCGCTGGGGCTGGCGGGCTGCCACGGCGGCCGCACCCTGCCCGGGCCGCCCCGCCACCCCGCTTACTGGGCTTCCAGATGCACTGGCCCCCTGGCGGGAGGCCCCGGTACAGGCCCTCGTGCCACTTGCCGAACAGGCGGTGGAGCACGCGGCCGCTGCGGCTCAGCACGGCGCCCTGCACCTCGTGCACGGTGGAGCTCCAGTACTTGGCCTAGGGCGGGGCAGGCTGGCTTCAGCGGGGGTCCCCGCCCCCACCAGGCTGGCCCCAAGGGCAGAGGCTGCTGGGGGGGTGCCCACCTTGCAGAAGGTGATCTTGCAGTGGCAGGAGCTGTCCTGTGTGTTTCGGATCAGCACCTCGCCGTAGTGCTCTATCCAGCGCTGGCCGCTCAGGATGTTGTGAATACAGGACGTCACCTTGTTCCACTCAAAGTGGTCCCCAAACCTGAGAGAGACAGGGTGCGGGTACGGGAGCATGTGGTGCCCGGGAGGTGGCCTGGAGGCTGGAGGGGGTCACAGACTGTGGGAGAAGCCCAGGTGTCCCAGTGACAGCTCCACTTTGAGGGGTGGCCAACTTTTTCTGGAGACAGGGACTCTATCTATATTCCAAGCTGGCCTTGAACTCACTATGCAGTTCAGGCTGGCCTCAAACTTGTGATCCTCCTGCTTCAGCCTCCCCAGTGTTGGGAGACAGGTATGCACACCCAGCTCCCTATTTGACAGCTTTTCAAAGGTGGCTTATGAGCCATTAGTCCTGACATCATTTCGGCTGTGTGTGTGGGGCGGGGGTTGAAATCTCAACATTCCTTACTGTGAGTCACTGTCAAAAAGTGGAAAAAGGCACTGAGTCAGATGACTGGGAGGAGCCCTCCTGCTGTGCTGTTCAGGCTTCTCACCTTTCTTTATTGAGCTGCTACAAATACAGGTGTAAAATGCGCAAACGCTTCCGTCCTGTCCTCAAGGGCCACCCATCCCGCAGGAGGTGACAGCCCTCACCCACCTGGGCAGGCTGACATTGATGGTGCCCACGGGCACAATCTCCAGGGATTTGCCCCAGAACTTGTTCTTCCACTTCATGTCTGAGGCAGGGGGCGGAGGGGACAGCAGAAATGAGCCTGGGGCGCCCAGCCCCGCCCCAGCGCCCTTTGCCCAGGCCGCCGCCCCGCCTGGCCCTCACCTTGCCAGAAGACGAAGTTCTCGGACTCTGCGTGGCACGCCGAGATGGGGGGGTGGTGGGAGACCTTGGCGAACAGAGGAGCTCTCTGGAGGCCGGCCCCGAGGGCCCCCAGCGCCCCTCACTGGTGAACCAGACCCGCTGCTCCGGGTCTCTCTTCCCCTCACCCTTGGCCGCCACCCCACCCTCTTTCCCCCCACGAGGTCCTGCTCAGTGAGAAGCTGCCCCGTCAGCCCAGGGTGTCCCCGAGAAGCCCCCCTCAGGCCTATCCGGTCCCCCCACAACCGTGCCAGGAAGGGCCCCTGACTCTGCCCTTCCAGAGGATCCCCTACACCCCCCTGAAAGCCAGTCACACCCGCCTCCCCCGCCTGTCCTCCGTCTCCCAGCTCCGCCTATGGGACCCGGGACCGGAAACGCCAGGTCCCCCGCCTGCAGCCTCACCTCTCTCCCAGTTCCCTGTCACCCAGAGCTCTGGGCAAGATTTCTGCGTTCCCGACTGCTCTGCTCTGTAACATTTTCCCCACCTTTTCAAAAGCGCTTGAAATCAAAACAAGCAAACAGCCTCAGCCCTGTGTCTCCCCTCTAGCAGCCACTCTGTCCTCTTGCCCTGCCGGGAACAGGTTTTGGAAGTGGTCTCCATCCTTCTCTGTTCTTATAATTAAAACCCCTCCACTCTGCAGCCTCTGTGATCCAACCTCTGCCCATTCTTAGCCCGAAACCTGCCTTGCTCAGGAAGCATTGACGCCCCCAGGCCGCACAGACACGGCTCTCCTGCCCGACACCCCTCTCGGCCCCACTTCTCCCACCCCACCAGCAGCAGGCGACTCCCGGCTGGGCTGGCCCACCCCGCAGCGTCCTACGCATGCGCAGAGGAAAGCCCCCCCGCCACCCCGCCCCAGCCCAGGTGCCTCAAGATCCAGATCAGAAGTCTGAGGCCACCCAGACTCCCTCAGCTGTCCGCCCCGTCCCTCAGTAAGAACCCTGTGGGCCGCCAAGTCCCCCCAGGGGTGCATGTAAGCAGCTCTTGACTCAGTCCGCACCGTGGGGCGGGCCGCCATCAGCTCTTACGGACCCGGCCTTAACAGCCTCCTAACTGCCCGCGCCAGCCACCGCATCCCCACTGCCAGGGGTTCTTTACAGAGCGCAGCTCAGAACCCGACGCTCCACCGCTTCATACCCTCCCTGGCTCCTGCCGCCTTCAGGATTTTTTTTAGTTTTTTTTGACAGAATCGCACTATGTAGCCCAGCCTGGCCTCAAGCTCAAGGAAATCTTCCTGCCTCAGCCTCCCAAATGCTGGGATTCCATCTGCCTTCAGGATTTAAAAACAGAATCCCAAATCCTCTTTCCTTCCCCTAGGCGTTTCAGGGTCTAGACTAACTTCTCTTCAGCCCCCGGCGTGCTCCGTGCTGGACCGTCCCAGTCTCCCGCCTTGGGCTCAACTCCCTCCACCTAACTCATCCTTCCCGACCCGGCTCCAGGGCGCCGCTAAGCAGCTTCGCCTCCGCTTCAGGTGGGGCTCCGGGCGCAGCCGGACCCCTCGGCACTCCCCAGCGAGAGCCCCTCCCCAGGCCTGGCCTGGCCGCACCTGCTCGCTGATGAAGCGGAAGCCGCGGTCGGGGCGCTCGCACTCGTAGGTCTCCCCCAGGACCGGGTTGAAGGGCTTGCAGCCGGCGCGGTGGTAGGTGGAGCAGTAGGCCGAGACGGCGAAGGCCGCGACGTACACCTGCGACGGAGCAGGACGGCAGGAGGCTGGGCGAGCTGCGGCGGGCCGCTCCCCGCGGCGGGGCTGGGCCACACGGGACCCGGGACGGGGCCGGCGTACCATGCGCTCGCAGGGGTCGGCCAGGCAGCTGGCCTGGTCCAGGAGGCTGCTGTACTCCAGCTCCTCGCACAGCCGCTGCAGCGTGTTGAGCGGCTCGTTGAGCTGCACCGGCATGGACACCTTGGACAGGTCCTTGCCGATGTTGTTCCGCAGGATGTTCCACAGGCTCACGTCGGCCCCTGGCCCGCTGGCAGCGGGCAGGCAGCGGCGGCGCGGGGGGCCCGGGGCACTCCCTGGAACACAGCCCCGTGGGCCACCAGCCGGGTCACTCCCCCCGGACACCGGCTCACAGCCTGAGTCCCCGACCCCGGCTCCACCCTGTGGAGGGCAGGGTGACTGAGGATCCGAATGGCGATGAGCTCCCAGGGACTCAGGTGGCCCACACGGCTAAGGACCGCTGAAAGGGGACAGAGCCCCCGGCATGGGGTCGCACGCCTGTATCCCAGTACGCAGAGGCTGAGGCAGGAGGATCGTTGCGAGTTTGAGGACAGCCTGGGCTACAAAGTGAGCTCAAGGCCAGCCTGAACTGCACAGCGAGACCGTCTCAAAAAGACAAAAAAAAAAAAAAAGGACAGAGCCACTCTCCAGCCAAGGTGCCCAGAACCCTGCTGAGTCCCACCCTTGCCTCTGTCCCTTATAAATAGAAGCGGATGCTGGGAGGCTGACGGTGCTATCTCTTTTAGAAGGAAGAAATAAAATGACAAGCCTAAAGCCACTCTGTCAAAAGTCACAAACTTGGACTTTTTTTTTGGATTTTTGAGACAGAGTCTCACTATGTAGTTCAGGCTGGCCTTGAACTCACAGTGTAGCCCAGGCTTGAACGTGTGACAATCCTCCTGCCTCAGCCTCCTGAGTACTGGGATCATAGGTGTGCACTACCCCACAAACTGGGACCTTTTGTCTGTCCAGTGCTGTGTGACCATCTGCCTCTGTCAGAGCCTACACAAGGCTTCCCTGATGACTGGAAGAGGCCAGCGCCAGGCCTGGCATGGCCTACGACATCCTAGGCCTGCTCCTGAAAGCTGCCTGACTCAGCTTAGCCTTCCGCAGCTCCAGGCTCACCCGTTAGCCCACTGGTCGCAAGGGATGACCACCTTCCCAGCCCCCAGGCCTGCCCCCCACCCAGTGCCACCTGGCACCTTTCTGATAGGGCTCGGCTCCCCTGAGCTGTAGCACCTCCTCTGACAGGCTGGTGGTGACTTCACTGGTGCACGACTCCTCTTCCTCCTCCGAGCCCTGGGCCGGGACAGACGACAGCTGGGCGAGCCGGGCCTCCCCCAGGTAGCTGGGCAGTGGCCAGTGCACACGACCCGACCCAGCCAGCCCTCTGCTGGGAAGGGGCAGCGAAGGCACTGGCGGGCTCTGAGCCCTGAGAAACCGCCCGAGGGGTCTGGCCTCACAGGGTGTCCCCGGTCACTGGGGGTAAGGCTCGGCAGGACCCCAGGATAAACTGGGGGAATCGGGGTCAAGGGAGCACAGAAGCGGTCACAGGAAGATGATGAGGGTGGAACCGCAGCCCAGGCCCCTGCAGAGCTTTCTGAGCCGAGCCCCCTAAGCCCCGCGATGTGTGATGTGTTCCCGGAGGCAGTGATCGAGGAGGGGAAGGAGAACCCAGCAACCTGTAGCTTCCCGTCTCTGTGAACACCACCCGCATCTCTCCCAGGTCCCCGCCACGCTGCCACCAGCTGCCTCTGCCCTCACCTCGTTCTCCGAAGAGCTGGCGGAAAGGAGGACCTCGCAGGCGTCAAAGAATTCCGTGTGAGAATCGGCCAGGGACAGCACGCTGCTCTGGGACAGCTGTGGGGTCAGCTCTTGCCCCTTCATGTACAGAGCTTCCTGCTGTGGGGGCCAGAAAGGCGTCAGGCCCACGGCCACTCTGGGGGGCCAGGCCTGCCTGGGTACCATGCTGCCTCTGAACCCCGCTCCAAGCCCCTTTCCTCTACTAACTGATTCAATCTTTTTTTTTTTTTTTTTTGAGATCTTTTTAAGACAGGATTTCACTTTGTAGCTTGAGCTGGCCTAGAACTCTCAGCGATCCTCCTGCCTCAGCCTCCCGATTGCTAGGATTATAGGTGTGTGCCATCACACCAGACAAACCCATTCCATCTTGACACACACCCTTGGGGAGGTACAATTATTACCCCACTCTGCAGATCAGAACCCTGGTCACACAGCTAGCAGACAGTGGCACCAGGGCCCAGCCCCGGCCACTATTGCAAGAGTGGACTCTTTGGGCCCTAGTTTCGCTTTCTGGAGGGTCAGAACGCTGCACTGTGGATGCTAGGTAAATAGCAGTGCACTCTAGGGGACCCCCCCAGATGTCCCGGGAGTGGCCACCCCGGGAAAGAAGGTGCAGAGAGGCCACCCTGGCTCCTCACCTCCTCCGGGTTGAGGGAGCTGAAGGAGTCCGCCGTGGTGTCTGAGGACATGGAGAGCGAGTGGAGGCGAGGCTGCCCGGCTAGGGTCCCCGGGACCTGGGGGAGCAGCAGGTGAGGAGACGGGGTCTTCCGCCTGCACCCTGCCCTGCCCAGCCCTGCTGCCTGTGAGGCCACCGGTCCCCAGACTCACCCCTAGACTGGACGGCTGGGAGCCCTGGTGCAGATCCCGCAGTCGGTCCCGCTCCGAGGTGAGGGCCGCCAGGACGCTGCTGAGGGAGCCGTGCACTGCGGGTGGGGGCCGTGTCACCCTCCCGCCTCCGAGCCCCCGCACCCCCCCCCCGGCTCACACGCACCCTTCTGTGCCAGGGCCCAGAAACTGCGCTGCAGGTGGGCGTAGTCTGGGGGTGGCAGCCCCCGGGGGCCCGAGGAGTCCCGGGACTCCAGGTAGCGAGACAGGTTGGGGACAGAGCCATGGAGCCGACCAACCTGCGGAGGAAGGAGCGGGTGAGGGGACCACAGCCCCCGGGGACCCTGCCCTGCAAGCCGGGCCCACAGCCGCTCACCCGTCCGATGGTGTCGTCCTTGGCGAAGCTCTGTGTGCACCACATGCGGGTGGTCCGCTTGCCCTTCTTGGGCCTCTCGGTGGTCCCCGAGGCCTGGCAAGTGGAGGGGCGCAACTTCGCTCACGGCGTGAGGAGACGGGGCAGCGCACCAACCGCCCTGGGCACACAGGGTGTGGCAGCCTGGCAGAGGCTGGGGCACGGGAGGGGGCAGAGCCAGTCTCCAGCAGCTGGGCAGATGGTGGCTGTCGAGGGAACTGTGGCAACGCCGAGGAAGGGACTGCCCCGGGAGTGACGGGGACGCAGCGCCCTTACCTGGTGCGTGGGGATCACAGGGGCCGAGGGGATGCGGTGCAGGGACTCCAGGCTCTGGAGGAGCCTGTGGAGCTCCTGGAGCTTCCCCTGGCACTCGGAGAGCGCTGGGGACCGGAAAGAGGACGTCAGTCCCCACGCAGGCCAGGGCCTGTCTGTCCCCCCGCGTCCTCCCTCCACCAGAGTCAGCTCGCAGCAGGGGACCCCAATGCCGCCACCCCGGGCACGCAGCCCCCTGGCCCGGGGCCCACGCCTCGGTCCTCGCGCTGTCTGCGGATCGCCCCCACCTCTGCCCGCTGCGCACTGGCTGGCTCCCTCCGTGTGCACCCTCACCGTGAGAGCAGCGGTCCAGCCCGTCACTGTCCTTCAGCCAGGAAGACACCTTCTCCTGAGGTCCGACCCCCGGCAGGGCTGAGGTGCTGCCCGCTGTCAGGACCTGGGTGCCAGGAGCCTGTGGGTGAGCCAAGGGTCAGGGAGGGTCCCCACGAGTGCCACCCCTGAACTGCCACACCACCGGCGCCCACCTCGGGGCCCAGCTACCTTGCGATGGCTGGCCCCGGGCACGTCCAGGCGCTGGGCCAGGCGGTGGGCACGAAGCTGGGCCACCCAGCTTTGGAACAGGTCCTGGGATTTGATCTACAGAAGCGAGGAGATGGGGGGACAGTGAAGGCAGGCGGCTTTCCAGGAGCAAGAAGTTGGGGCTCTGGTCCCCAGGCAGCTAGGCTCTCCCCCTATAGACCCACCCTGTGCAAAGGCCCCTTGCGGGCAGGTGGAGCATGCACCCCAAGGGTACCCCAAGCTCTGCCTGTTCCCGTTTATACAGTGGCAACTTCCTGCTTCTCTCCCTCCCTCCCTCCCTGTCTCCCTTCCTCCTTCCCTCCTTCCTTGTTTCCTTCCTTCTTCCCTTCTTCCCTTCTTCCCTCCCTGTCTCCCTCCCTCCCCTCCTTCCTTCTTTCCTTCCTTCATTCCTTTTCTTTCTTCTCAAACACTGGATATTTAACCCAGGACTTTCCCACTGAGCTACATCTCTGGCTGTTACTTAAACTTTATTTTGAGACAGAGTCTCACAAAATTGCTGATTTTCCCAGGCTGAGTTGAATTTACCATCTTCCTGCCTTGGCCTTCCAGAGTGCTGGAATCACAGGACTCATCATGCCTACCTACGATGGCCGCTTTTTTATGCCAACTCAGGAAGGACCCTCAGCCCTGTGCCCAGGCCTCGGCCAGGCCTGTAACCGACACACTTCCTGGCTCCCCCAATGTCGGCCCCGGGGATGGAAACCAGGACCTCACGCCCCGGGCAGGTGTCTGCCCCGAGCCTCATCGCCAGTCCCTGGCGCGGCACCTTGAGGTGGTAGATGTTGTCTTCGGTGTCGAGGTCAATGCGCTGGGCCTTCTTGTTGATGGACATGACCGACAGCCGGACGTCGATGGAGCCGTGGAGCTTCCCCTTGGTGATCTGCCGTGGAGTGGGGGCGAAACGGGACTGGGTTCAGGTTCCCAGGGCCACAGAGCCACTGGCCCCGAGTCCACCTGAGCCGCAAGGGCCAGGCAAGCATTCACCCTCAGGCCCAAGCCACACCATCAGAGGGGACTCGTCAGCCTCCTGCTGCGGAGGGAGGAAGCAGCACCGCAGACAGAGTTGACGCTGGTCAGTTATGGTTTTGCTGCAGTGCTTAGCGATGAGTGAGGAGAAGAAAACCTGCGTGTTTTACACAGATGCAGCTTTAACAAATAAGTATGGATTTTGGATCTGCAGACGCAGAGCCGGGGGGCGGGGACCGAGGACACGGAGCGCTGACTGTCAGGTGCACACGTCCCGAGCCCGCCTGGCTGGCGCAGGTGCCCCCTGCATGCTCAGGGTGCCAGGCCCCCCCCCACCAGCCAGGGCCCTGACTCACGTCTTGCCGGGTCGTTGCATAGTGGAGGATCCCGTCCTCAAGCACGAAGTACCTCTGCGACATTGCCCGGGGGGGACAGAGCGGCGAGGCCACCAGGACAAGGGCAGAACAGACACTCAGACTTTTCTTCCCTGGGCACCACGCCGGAGCCACCTGGCAGCCTCCTGCTGCTGCCCCGCCCCGACCATCACCCTACCTTGTGCCAGCCCTTCAGCGGCCACTTCCTCTTCTTGAGCAGGTGGCCTTCCTGCCGCTGGGGCCTGACACCCTCCGTACCCAGCCTGCCCCGGGGCTCCTCCACCACCTCCCACAGCTCCGAGCCCTGCAGGCCAGAGTAAGGGGAGGGGGCAGGCAGCTGGTGAGCTCAAGACTCACCCCGAGGCCCCGGCCCGCCCGCCGCCGCTTCCCCCAGACCTGCTGGCCACTGCTGGGCTTCGAGGACTGAGTGCTGTCCGCCAGGGACGGGGTGTCCCTCTCCTGGAAGTCCATGGAGGAGGGAGAGGCCACTCCCTGTGGAGGATGTGGAGCAGGGTGGGAGGGTGGGGATGTCTGTCACCTGGTCCTGATGGGGCCCTTGAAACAGAGAGAACCCTCGTGCTAGAGACCCTGCTGACATGTTTCCCGGCCCCGGAGCTAATCCATGCCACCCTGGGTGGATCCCTCTGCCCACGCCCTGGCACTACAGCCTGCTCATCGAGGTGGACAACTGCACACAGACCAGCCAGCGCCAAGGGAGAACCTGGCGAAGAGTGCCCGGCCCGCCTTGGGCACAGTTCAGGGGCTCGGGAAGCCCTCGGGCTTTCTTGGGGGGGGCAGGGAGCCAGGGATGGGGACCGTCAGGGGAGTCCCTCCATCCGGGTTCCTCTTCCTCAGGGTCCCCCACCCTTCTGCCATGGCTTGGTGGCCTCACCCTGCAAAGCACCCCTCAGACCTCCTCGGTTGGCCCCCATATCCTCAAGGCCCCATTTTCTGCATGGGGACACTGAGGCCAGAGATACCCCCATTTTCCCTGTGTCCCCTCCTGCCACACACGCCTGTAGGATCCCCAACCTGTACCCTCGGTTTCCCGAAGCCTCACGATCCCCCTGTCCCGTCTCAGTCCTCCTGGCTCCTGAGAAGCCGCACCCACCCGAAGAGAGCAGGCCAGGGGCTGATGGGGACACGGTGGGCAGAAGAGGTGGCTAAGAACACGCCGAGGTCCGCAGGTCCCGCAGCAGTGCCCACAGGCGCCCTTGGCATGGGCCTGGCCATCCTGGCTCCGCCGGGAGATCAATAATGCATGGGGCTGTGTGGGGGCCAGGGAGGGCGCTGGGGGCGAGGCTGGCCCAAGGCTGGGGAGGCGGCTCAGGTCTTCCTGTGGAGCGGGCGAGCACCTGAGGAGCTCGGCTAGGAGGGGACAGGGACGTGCGGGGGAAGGGTGGCCGGGAGCTGCAGCAGAGGGGCCCAGGCTGCAGGACGCTGCCCCAGGGGAAACTCCTGCTCTCAGTCAAAGTTCGCAAACTCTCCCGCGTCCGGGCTTCTCTGCACCCTTGTCCCCGTCCCTGGGCCAAACTGCTGGCCGCCGGAGCGGGCTGATCGGGAAGGAGGGCCCGAGGTGGGCCAGGTGGGGACCCCGCGGCACCTCCACGCCCTGCCCGGGATCTGGAGGAGCAGCGCCCAGCCCGGGCGGGGGAAGCCCTCCCCGAGATGTCACCTCTGCCCGCGCAGCCCCCTTACCCCAGGGTCCATGGGCGCCCGTGCTTGGCCGTGCTGCTCCACCTCTGAGTCACCCTCTCTGCAAGCCGCCGGCTCCCTCCGCGGAGTGGAGCAGTGGCACCAGCTGCCGGTGCTGCTGCAGGAACCAGGAAGGAAGGCAACGTCGAGCTTCCCCTCCGGCCGGATCTCCCCACCTCCCCGCCCCGTCACCTCCTCCCGCCCAGCTCCAGGCGGCCGCTCAGCTCTGCCCCCCTGCTCCCCGGAGGACTCAGGGCCCAGCCACCGCTGTGGCTCGGAACGGGGACACTGTCCCCACCGGGCGCGGCTCCAGAGGCCTGGAGGACTAGGGTGCCACTGGCCCTGGGCCAGGGGTGGGGATTTATTGCAACCTGCACAGCCTTGACCTGGGGAGCCGGCGGCCAAGGCCATTTCCGTGCGAACCCCCACCGCTCTCGCTTTACATCTGAAAATAGATTTTGAAATTGGGAGTGAGCAAAGGTATCAGATTGAAGGGGAAGGGACAAATGTCCCCCCGGGACACCACACTGCCAGGAGCACGGTCAGCAGGGCAGGCAGGGTACAGGGACAGCCCCACACACACCGAGGCTGCTCGGGAGTCTGGGTCAGCGACCGCCTGGCTGTTACAAATGGGTCCCAAGCTGGGACCCCCCACCTGCTTTTCTCCATAATCAACTGCTCAAATGCTCAAGTCTGAAGAAAATTCGGCTTTTATGAGAGATCTACACTGGGCGTGGTGGCGCACGTCTGTAATTCCAGCACTCAGGAGGCCGAGGAAGGAGGATTAACCCAAGTTCGAGGCCAGCACGGGCTATATATATAGTGAATTCAAGCCCAGCCTGGACTACACAGCAAGACCCTGTCTCAGAACAAAACAAAACAAAACAAAACAAAAAACACCCTAAAATTCCTTTAAATGGCTGTTGCATAGACTAAGGGGTTTAAGTGCAATGAAGCAGTTTTCTGGAAAGAAGTGGGGTTTGTCTTTTTCTTTTTTTTTTTTTTTGTACCAGGAATCAAACTTGCTAGGCATGCGCTTGTGCCGCTGAGCTATATCCCCAGCGGGTTTGTCTTTTTGAGACAGGGTTTCCCTATACAGTTCAGGCTGGCCTTCAATTTACTCTGTAACCCAGGCTAGCCTCAAACTACCAGGAATCCTCCTGTTTCAGCCTCCCAAGTGCTGGGATTAGTGTACACCATTATGCCTGGCCAAGAGGTGAGTCTTCATGGGGGATTCAGGTGCCACCACCAGCAGCAAAAGGATGTAAATAAGGTGCTTCCAAGAGCCCAGGAATGATGTGGAGTGCCTGTCCACTGCCCTTGTCCCCACGCAGGATCAGCAGGAGGTCAGGGCTGTCCGCATGGCTCCAGGATACCTGTGGTCCCAGCTCCGTTCAGAACCTCAGGTGTGGGCACCAGCACTGGCACCCAGGAGTCTCGAGGGTTTTTTTTGTTTTGTTTTGTTTTGTTTGAAACAGGGCTTTGCTATATAGTTCAGGCTGGCCCTGAGTTCACTATGTAGCCCAGGCTGGCCTCAAACTCGTGGCAATCCTCCTGCCTCAGCTCCCAAGTGCCGCATTAGAGGCGTGCACCACCACACCCAGCTCGAGGACCTTTTCATTCGTGTCTCACTGACTGAGCGCCTCTGGGCACCACATAGAGCTGGGCACCATGGAAAGCTGGTCCTGGCCCACTCCACGGTCAGCAGCGCCTGCCCAGAACCAAGGCCCCTGGGGCACCGTGCCAGGTCCAGAAGGGCTGCTGAGGGGGCCACCCGCCTGGCACGTCCTGGACAATGGGAGGCTGGTAGCTCAGCACCTCTGTCTCGGATTAGGAGGCCCTGGCTCCCGACACTTTGGGAAGCAGCCTCCTGGGGCCCACAGCTCCCCGACAGCAGAGGCACCAAGCCCCCCCCCGCTTTGGTGCAGCGCCTGTGCGAGGCGGTATGCCAGCCACAGCTGTCAGTGGCCTTCAAAGAGACCGGCACTGGTGGGGAGAGGACAGGGAAGAGGAGGTTCTCTAGGAAGTAAGGGTGGGCAGAGATGAGGCTGAGAATAACTCTGCAGACGCGGAGTCATTAATCACAATGTTTCACTTTATCAGAGAGTACCCGCGGTGACGGGGTGGTGCCAGAGGGCGGGAGCTGACCTCCCGGCCACCGGCGCTGCGGGTGATCCAGACTCAGGGAGAGAGCCTAGTCCACGTCTCTGTCCTGTCACTGCTCCCGGCACAACCTGGGATGGGCCATTTACATCTGTTTCCTTCGTGTCCAGGGACTGCGCAGGCTCAACCGGGCTACTCCGCGCCATCACTCAGCGGAGGTTCTGTGGCTGCCGGGTCCCGCAGAGGGCAGGGAGAGGTCAGCAAGGGACAGCGGACCGGAGGGAGTGACCAGGGCAGGAGTCGCAGCCTTCCAGCCGCGTAACTGAGACGGAAGAGACTGCTTCTACCAGATCCCCAGCTGGGGAGCCAGGGACAGAGACGGTAACTATCAGCCTCGGCCCCGTCTCTCCAGTGGCCGGCCCTGTACCCGAGGAGGGGGCTACTGATGGAAGCCAGGCCACCCACGCCACCCCGAGTTCCTCTGCCTGGCCCACGGAGACCAGCACGTCGCGGGGCCGGGTCGTGGGGCCGGGTCACGGGAGGGCCGGGTGCACAGGCAGCTGGGAGTCCAGGACAGGCTCAGGAGGGCCCGGCTGCCCGCCGGCTGCCGCGGTGGAGGCCCCTTCCTGTTGCCGTCTGACGTGCTGCTCCAGCAGGGCCGTCAGCTGGGCGGGTCGGTGCTGCAGCAGGGCGCGGGTCTGGCCCAGCAGGAGGCTGAGTCCTCCGATCAGCTCGCCCTGCAGCAGGGCCTGGCTGGGCAGCTTGGCATAGTTCAGCAAGCCCTGCCTGCTCAGGATGGTGTCGTCGACGCAGCCACCTGCGGGACACGGGCTCGGCTCAGGTCCCCACGCACATGAGCGCCCCTTCTCTGGAAGGGATGCCCAACCCTGTCCTCATCCCCGCCAACCACTCAGAACCCAGGCCTGCCACAGCCCCACCGCCTCGGCCTCCCTCCGAGACCTGCCCAGCACACCCACCTGCCCGCCCCTGGAGCCCATTTCCTACACTGTCTTTCCTTCCGCACCCAGGACCTGCGCACTGAGCTACGCCCGAGGCCCTTTTCTTGTCTGTTTTGGGACAGGATCTCATTAAGTCATGAAGTCGCCTCGGCTGGGCTCAGACTTGTGATTCTCTTGCCTCAGCCCCCCTGAGTGCCGGGATTATAGGCATGTGCCACTCTGCCCGGCTTGCTAAACTTTCTTGAAGCTAGAATCATGGAGTGGAGGAATGCAAGGGGAAATTATTTTTTGATGGGTATGGAGTTTCAGTTTTTTAAAACAAAAAGATTTATGGAAATAGATGAGGGCAATGCTTATACATTATAAAGGTTTCTAATACTGCCCAGTGTGGTGATGCGTGCCTGTCATCCCAGCACTCGGAAGGCTGAGGCAGGAGGATCGCCATGAATCAAAGCCAGCCTGGGCTACACAGTGACTTCGAGGCCAGCCTGCACTACCTAAGGAGACCCTGTCTCAAAACACAAACCAAAGAATGTGCTGTTGCCTCTGGCTCCTCCCTGAGAGGATGTGCCCCAGAGACAACACCAGGCCCCACGGCACCCGCCCTCTAAGCCAGCCCCCAGTGACAGGGCGTTTGCTTACCCAGCAGTGGCAGGAAGGGCATCACCTTTAAGATCCGCACCATCTCCTTGACCTTCGGCTCCTCGCTGACCAGCAGCATGTTGTGGCCCACGAACAGGGGCAGCAGGCTTTTGTATTTGGAATCCTCGAGGAAGCACTTCAGGACCTGGCGTGGCAGGGACAGTGGCCCGTGGAGACCAAACAGCAGGAAGAGCCACTCACCACGGTCACAGGAGGCTGTGCTGCCACAGCCCGGGCACCCCATGAGCGCGGCCGGGCTCAGACAGCCCCACACAGAGAGTGCAGCCGAGCCCGGCCAGCTGCGCTTGGGGCAGATGGTCCCCTGGCACAGTGGCCCCTACCTGGTTGGGGAAGACCTTCACCAAGATCTTGTGTTTGCGCAGCTGGTGCCGCATGAGGAGCTTGTCCTCGGCGCTCATGGCCACGTTCTGGCAGACGGCTATCATTCGGTGCTCTCGGAAAACCGCTGCTATCTCCCGCCGGAGGAGCCGGATCAGGCCTGACTCCTAAGCAGGGGTGGATGGCTGAGGGGTGCCATCTCTCCACCCGGCACCCCTCACTCCCGCCCCCCAGAGAGCTGCTGGGGCTTCCAGGGCAGCCCCAGTGTGCAACAGCGCAGGGAACAGGTGGGACCGCGGGCCCTGACTGACAGATGCTGGGACCTGGGCTGCCGCACCCCTTCCCTCTTCCTTGGTCAGCCACAGGCTTCAGGCTGTGCTCGCCAAGCCGAGAACCTGCGCGGCTCCCCATGGTCAAGAATGGCAGCAATACGTGAAAATTACCTCAGGTATCAAACGGACACGCTACTCACACTGAATTATTTACCAGTTACAAACACAAGATAGGCTGTCAGGGGCCCGGCTCAGTGGTACAGCACATGCTTAGCATGTATGAGAACCACGGTTCAATCTCCAGCACCGATAAATAAATAAATACATAAACAGATCAAAAGAAATAAAAGGTAACACTTTGCCTGGAAATGGTGGCGCACGCCTGTAATTCCAGCACTCGGGAAGCTGACACAAGAGCATTGCTGAAAGTTTGAGGCCAGCCTGGGCTACACAGTGAGTTCAAGGCCAACCTAAACTACACAGCAGGATTGTCTCAAAAAACCAAAAGAAAAAAAAAAAAACAACCCAACCCCAAAAAAGGTAACTCTTTGGCAGCGTTAGTTTAAAATTTACACATTTTCACAAAACAAGCTTTCTTTTACTGGAAATTGAACCCAGGACCTGAGCTATGTCCCCAACCCCCACTTCTTTTAATTTTTTTATTCTCAGACAGGGTCTTGCTCAGGACAAAGTCATAACTTCACGAGACAGAAACTATTTCAGTGCACCACCTCACCACAGGCCCTGTGCGCCCCATGTGCCTTACCTCCTCGGGGGGCTTGGGCGGAGGCGGCAGGCATCGTGGGTTCACGGCCGGCCGGGGCGGAATATACTCAGTCACAGCCATCAGCTTCTGCCGCTGGTGGTGCATGACACGCCAGTGGCGGGTCACTGCCTTGGAGCCATGTCGCACGCTCTGGAGGGTGGGCAGCCGGCCTGGGAAGGAGACGGTGACGGTGAGAAGTGGCCTTTTGCAAGCCCTCCTTTACTCCATATGCAGAAAAAATGCACGTTCTGGACAGACAGCTACGGTTCACAGGGAGACACGCAGCACCACAGTGGGATGAGGAGATGCTCAACAGAAATCCTGAATTCCCAAACTTTGCTTTTTTTTTTGAGACAGGGTCTCACTATGTAGCTCAGGCTGGTCTTAAACTTATGGCAATCCTTCTGCTTCAGCCTCCCGAGCTAGGATTGCAGGCACGCACCACCATACCTGGCTACCTTTGCTTTTTAGTAAGTGACCTTAGGTCAGTTGCTTGGTCCCTTAAGGCCCCCATTTCTCAACTGATTTTTTTTTGTTTTGTTTTGTTTTGTTTTGTTTTTCTCTGGTACCGGGAACCGAACTCACGACCTTGCGCTTGCCAGGCAGGCGCTTCAACTGATTTTTCTTCAGTACTGGAGACTAAACTTAGGGCCTTCACACTAAGTTGCATCCCCAGCCCTTTTCTGAGACAGGGTCTCAATAAAGTGCTCAGGCTGAGTTCAAACTTATGACCCTCCTGCCTCAGCCTCCTAGAGTGCTGGGTTATAGGAGTGTGCCACCACCCCTGGCTTCCAGCTCTTCTCTATGTGCAAAGATAGGACACAAAATAAGAACAAAGGGGAAAGTATTTTGAACACATTATGCAAGGCCCAATAGGGTCGAGCAAACCTCTTCTTAAATAGGCAAATAGTGAATATTACATGTGCAAAGCCCTGGGCTCCATCCCCAGTACTGCAATTAAAAACAAATTTAAAAAAAACAAAACAAAACAATGAAACCATACAGTGACCATCCCTGCCAGTGTACGGCAATCACTGGTTTCACACAATGGTTCTTGAAGAATACTCCAACCCCCGCCCCCAGCCAACAACACCAGCACCCAGGCCACTGTGAGAAGTGTGAATTCTCATACCCGCTCTAGACCTACTGACTCAGAAACTCTGGAGCAGGCCCAGCAAACAGCGCTTTAAAAAGCCCCCCAGGTGATGCTGCTGCCCGCCACACCCTAACCACTGCTCTGAGGTTGCTCCTGTGATCTGAAGCAAGAAGGAAAAAAAATTATACCTGCCTCATAGCTCTCCCAAGTTTCTCTCCCCTCCTTCCCTCTTATGGACAAGCACCTGCCAGCACCCCTCAGTAACAAGGAGACACTCAAAGGCCCCGAGCCAAAGTGACCCCTTAAGGCATCCTCGACCCAGGGGCCGAGATCAGAGCTTCTCATTTTCAACTCTTCCCAACACTGAGATGGGACCTCAGGAGAAGGGTCAGCTAGAAGGTCAGACAGCACAGATTTGCTGGAGCAAGAGGTTTTGTTATGGGCTGGGGATTTAGCTCAGCGGCACAGTGCCTGCCTGGCAAGCGCAAGGTCGTGAGTTCGATTCCCGGTACCAGAAAAAAACTGAAAAAAAAAGAGGTTTCCTTACCAGTTGCCACAAAAAAACTAAATATTAAGAACAGCATGGGCCGGGCGTGGTGGTGCATGCCTGTAATCCCAGCACTCAGGAGGCTGAGGCAGGAGGATTGTCACGAGTTCAAGACCAGCCTGGGCTACAAAGAGCTCAAGACCAGCCTGAACTGCAGAGCGAGACCCTGCCTCAAAAAGACAAAAAAAAAAAAAGAAAAAAAAGAACAGCTTGGTGACCTATGCCTGTAACCCCAGCGCTCAAAAGGCTGAAGGAGGAGTTCAAGGCCAGCCTGGACTACATAGCAACACCCTGTCTCAAAAAAGAGCAGCTTTGAAATCAGATGCAGCTGGGTTTTAAGCTGCCTCCTGCCATTTACTGTGACCTGGCCCAGTCCCTCAACTCGGCCAAAGTTCAGTTTCCTCGTGTGAAGAGGGAATGACAATGCCTTCCCCATAGGATGCTTTAAAGTTTAGCTAAGGTAATATATGCAAAAGACTTATCATAATTCCTGGCCCAGTCAGGGCTCAAATTCATGAAACAAATCCACTGCGTGCCTGCCAACATCAGGTCCCGTGCCACCTGCTGGCTACGCAGACGGTACACGGCCACGGCTCTGCGGCTCTTAGGGGATTTAAAATCTCAGAGAGGGGCTGGGGATTTCAAATCTCATACAGAGGGGCTGGGGATTTAGCTCAACGGCACAGCGACTGCCTGGCAAGCGCAAGGTTGAGAGTTCGATTCCCGGTACCGGAAAAAAAAATAAATAAATAAAATAAAATAAAATCTCATAGAGACAAGCGAATAAACGAAATGCAGAGTTACAGATTGTGCCGAGACTACCGGGTGACCAATACATGGAAGATTCCTGTTTTGTTTTGTTTTGTTTTGTTTTGTTTTGTTTTTGTACCGGGAATCGAACTCATAACCTCAAGCTTGCCAGGCAAGCGCCTATGCCGCTGAGCTATATCCCCGGCCCAGAAAGACTGAACTTGTTTCACGAAGGGTGGAGAGCAAAGGCCTAAGGAGGCGACATTCGGGCTGAGTATGCAGGAGCCACAGAGCAGAAAGGGCGTGGAAGGAGCGGTCCGAGCAAAGAAAACGGGTCGGCGGCGAGAGCTGCGTGGTGCATTAGAGAAACCGAGAGCCGGGGGACTGGAGAGTAGGACATAAATGCTGTTGTTGGCGACACCGCTGCCGTGATTCCCAGTCTGGAGTCACCGAGAAGCGGAGGGCATAAGGCCAGCGATCCAGCCGCTGTTACGAGATCACCCGAGCGGTCCGGTGTCAGAAATTACGGGAAGGATCAGAAGTAGAGGAGGGGATACGAGGACCAGGGAGCGCTGGCCAGATGCGCAGCGAGGTCCTGGGTTACTCCTTACCCGCCTGGGGCAGGAGACCCCCTCGCAGCACCCCAGCCACAGCAGCGGCCATCACCACCGGAAGTACAGACAGGAGCCGAACGGAACCGGAAGCAGCTAAGGATTGTGGGGCAGTTAACCGGAAGTAGTAGGCGGCTCAGCCCGCTGAAGCCGTACTCGGCATGCGCAGAGTCCGACCGTGGAGCCCGCCTCCTCCCCCTACCTGGCGTCTGGTTTCCTAGCAACGAGGCGGTTCTCTTGGGCACCGCTCCTTCTTCGTCTCTCCTGCCCCATAACTCCCCATAACTGCCAGTAAAACCCCTTCACATCCCTCAGACTCCAGACCCTCCGTTCTTATTTACTTCTGTCTTCAAACCTACCCCTAACAAGTTACTGTGAATCAATCCCTTTCCTTTATCTCCCAGGGGTGAGCTTCTTCCTCCGCTATCGTCCTGGTTTTAGCCATCCCTAAAGGCCGTCAAAATTCTAGTCGTCCGCCTCTGACCAGGAGCTGCTCATTTTAGATGATGTCCGGAGGTGAGCAGGGAGGTGGGTTGTTGGGTGGAACATCACAGCAGCGTCAACAGTAGGATCAACGGTAGGATTGGGCCTCCAAGAATGAAAACAAATGACAACTAGAATCGTTGTTTCACAGAGACGCTTACCCAGAGCCCAGAGGAAGGTGTCTGCATCACAGAAGCCCTTATCGTTAAGCGCAACCTGACTTTCGATGAAGATGAGGATCTGTCCGAGAAGATGTGAGTGGGTGGGGAAGGAACGGCCACCATTTCCCTGCGCTGTAGGATCTGCCCATTCCCCGCCGCCTCCCTCTTTCCTCGCACCACACTCCGATCAGTGCTGATGCCAAGTGATTCTCCCCCCACCAAAAATCTTCTGAAGCCGGGCGTGATGCTCACGCCTGTCATCCCAGCCCTGGGGAACCTGAGGCAGGAGGATCCCTGCAAGTTTGAGGCAGTCTGAGCTATATTGTGAGTTCAAGACCCTCCTGAACTACATAGTGAGACCCTGTCTCAAAAAAAAATTTAATAAATAAAGTTTGAGAAGAACTGAGTTAGCACATACATGTACCATTCCTTCTGCTTGAAATGGCTTTTCCCCGTCACCCTCCCATCTTTGTAGCTAATGCCTAGTCATCTGTCACATTCTTTTGGAAGCAGTTCTGAGCCCTCTGTGCTGGGCTAAATCACCCACGCCTTCATCAGCTCTTTGTACCTGCCTCTGCCTCTACTTGTGATAGGTGTTTGGCCTGCTTCCCTCATAGTGATGGACTGGGACTCTGTCATCTGTAGGCACTCAGTAAATGTTGTGGAATTAAGAAGTCCACGGCAGGAACACTTACTGGTTCCCCCCCAAAGGCCACTCAAAGGGGAGGTGAGGAAGGATCTTCTTGCACGGATGGCCTCATCTCTCCCTCCACCATCAGTCTGGCCTGAGGAAGGCTTCTCTTGTCTCTGAAGCTGTTTAGGAATCATGAGCTACCACCCCATTTCCCAGGGGCTCCTACCCCTCTCACCCCAATCCTGCCCACTGACAAAAATGCTGGTCTCAGCCGGGTGTGGTGGCACATGCCTGTAACCCCAGCACTAGGGAGGCTGAGGCAGGAGGATCGTTGCGAGTTCAAGACCAGCCTGGGCTACAAAGTGAGCTCAAGGCCAGCCTGAACTGCATAGTGAGACCCTGTCTCAAAAAGATTTAAAAAAAATCCTGATCTCCACAGCAAGCCAGTTTCATGACCCGGATACCACTTCTGTTCTTGGCAGAAGCTGTTCTTGACATCTGATCAAGACAGCTGTCTATCCCTCCTCGAAGCCCCTCTCCTCTCCCCTCCTTCCCGTTTTCTTTGCTAAGTGGCCTCGGAAGTGAGCTCCATCTTACACATCTGCACCCAGGTTTCACACCCTGGCTGACCTGCAGACAGTGCGGCTGGACCGGGAAGGGATTACCATGATCGGGAACCTGGAGGGCCTCCAGAATATTCACAGCCTCTACCTGCAGGAGGTAACTTCATGCCCCTCACCTTTCTCCTGCAAGTCTGTCTAACCTGAAAGCACCCAGACTGGCATCTCATGGCTTTGCTTGAGTTCAGGCAGGCATTTAAACCATGCCCAGATGAACCAGGCATGGTGGTGCCCACATGTAATCTGAGCATTCTGGGAGGCTGAAGCAGTAGGACTCTAAGTTCAACCCAACCTGGACAATTTAGCAACTTAGTGAGATCATGTCTCAAAATAAAAATAAAAAGGATGGGGGATGTAGCTTAGTTCAAAGACTCTGGGTTTAGCCCCCAGTATTGAAAGAAAAATGTAACTCCAAAAACACTCTTGAGCCAGGTGTGGTGGTGCACACCTGTAATCTCAGCACTCGGGAGGCTGAGGCAGGAGGATCGTTGCAGCCTGGGCTACAAAGTGAGCTCAAGGTCAGCCTGAACTGCATAGCGAGACCCTGTCAAACCACTCTTGAAGGACAGTTCTTTAGTTGGACACTTCTCTTGGTCTAGAAATTCTTCATAGTGGCCACCCTAAACTTTTCAAGTTGCACAGCTCAAGCCCATTTTCTGTTTTGAAGAAGAGGAAGAGGAATCTATAAGGATTGCTCTATAGCCTTCAGATCCTCAAAGGCTATTTGGTGGGTCCCTTATACTTTCCCACAGAATGAATATATATATATATATTTTAAACAGGGTCTTACTATGTAGTTCAGGCTGGCCTTGATCTCACTATGGAGCCCAGGTTGGCCTCAGATTCATGGTGATTCTCCTGCCTCAACTTCCTGAGGGTAGAAATATAGCCATGCAGCACCACATCTGGCTCCTAAAGAAATTTTACAGATCAGATGAATATAAGTTCATTGTTCCCTCTGGATATGAAAACCACCTAGTGACCCCTGGTCTCTTCCTGATTCTCAGGTCCCTCTTTGGTTGTGAGCTTTAATCCAGTTTAGCCAGCCCCAAGTTTATACCTCTATCCACCCACCTGGAGAAAGCTGCTGGTCTTCCCCGAGCTAATGACTAGTCACTGCAGTCAGGGGCGGGTGGTCACCCTCAAAGTAGCCACCTCCATGGGACCAGTGGATGTGGTGCTAGGGCTCTATCCCGCAAAGGCCCCCACCAGCTGACCTCGTCTTGGTTGCCCTGCCTCGGTTTCTTCTTGCAGAACAAGATCCAGCGGATCCAGAACCTGGCTTGTGTCCCCTCCTTGCGGTAGGTGGGACCGGGCTTCAGGCGGGAGGAGCAAGGAGCAGGCACGGGCAGCACCCCAGAAGCCGGCTCCCAGCCGCCCAAGCCCTGCTCGCTCGGCTGCAGCCCGCTCTGCTTTCCTGCCCCCAAAGGCAGGGTCTGTGCGTGTCACCCAGGTGCCTGGTGCCGTCCTCCCTCCCCACCAGCTGTCCTGTGTTCAACTCTGTCTCTGTCCCCTTCTCCCCCGCAGCTTCCTATCCCTGGCAGGAAACCGCATCAAACAGGTGGAAAACCTCCTGGCCCTCCCATACCTCCAGTTTCTGGACCTTTCTGAGAACCTGATAGATTCGCTGACGCTGGGTAGGAGCACCCTGGTCACCCCCCTCTTGGCTCACAGAAGATGTCCCCAGGGGGCGGCCCCTTCAGTCCATTTCCCTATGCGGGTGTCTCCCCCACCCTGCTCGTGCTCGCTTCATATCGGGGTCGAGAGTGGGTGTGGAATCTCATCGCCTCTCTCTTTTTTTTTTTTTTTGGTACCCGGAATCGAACTCAGGACCTTGTGCCTGCCAGGCAGGTGCTTGTGCCGCTGAGCTATCTCCCCAGCCCTCACCGCCTCTCTCTTGTGTGTGCAGATGAGCTTCCCCAGAGCCTTCTCATCCTCAACCTCACCGGAAACAAATGCACCACCCAGAAGGGCTACAGGTGAGGAGGGACTGAGGGCGGGCAAGAGGTGCTGGCTAAGGCCGGGTGTGATGGCACACACATGTCATCCCAGCACTCAGGAGGCTGAGCCAGGAGGATTGCTGTGAATTTGAGGCCAGCCTGGGCTCCACAGTGAATTCAAGGCCAGTCTCGACTATATAGTGAGACCGTGTCTCAAAAAAAAGGAGCCGAGTGGCTCCCTGAGCCTGCACCCCCAGCACTGTGCACGCCCCTTTTCTTCCACCCCTGTGGGTCAAGCTGCCCCTTCCCACCCCACCCCCCCATGCCACAGAGCCAGCTCTTGGCGCTCTGAAGGACCCCAGGGCTCCCAGCCCAAGAGCCGCCACCCCTCCAGCCATAGTGCCGTGGCAGCGCCGGTGCGTCCTCCCGGGCTCCCTGCCTTGGCTCCCCCCGGACAGCCTCTGCTCTGCCCACCTGCAGGGAGATGGTGATAGCGGTGCTGCCCCTGCTCCTGGACCTGGACAAGCAGCCTGTGACCGAGCGCTGGACCTCGGAGGAAGAGGATCAGGACTCGGGGGATGAGGACGAGTTCCCAGAGCTGAGCGGGCCCTTCTGCTCAGAGCGAGGTGACCCCACCTTCCAAAGGCGCAGCCTCCCCGGAGCCTGCCCCGCCCTGCTCTGCGGACAGTGGCAGTGGTGTCCAGGGAGTGGCCACCAGCCCAGGCAGCCTTGGGGCACAAGTGGTGGGCGGTAGCCCTGGGCAGCCAGGGCCTCAGCCCTCCCCAGCCCCAGGCTCCACCCCTCTAGGGATGCCAAGAGGTCAGCCAGGGACCTCCCTGAGCCACCTGCCACCCTGGCTCCTCTAGGCTTCTTCATGGAGCTGTCGCAGGAGATGAGCGGGCACCAGGCGCGCCGGCAGCAGGCGGCCCTGACGGAGCACCTTCTGCGGATGGAGACGCAGCCCAGCATCACCGAGCTCTCCCCTGCCACGAGGGCCGGGGACAGCAGCTCTTTCATCACTCCAGAGCGAGGCGGGGAGCCAAGCCCCGTCTCCTTGCCCCAGGCCTCCTCTGCCTCCACCAAACCAAGTGTGCTGGCCCCCAAGAGCCAGAAAAGCTCTGTCCAGGCTGGGAAGGGGACCCAAGCCACCACTACCCCGGTGACCTCTGCGGTCAGGGCGCCCAGCACGACCAAGACAATGACCAAGACAGCCAAGAAGTGAAACTGGGCGTCTGTCTGTGACTTCCTCCTACCCGCACCCCTCACTGTGCCCAGGGCCCCTCAATAAAGTGTCGCTAGGCCTGGAATGCCTTCGGTGTCACTTGGGCAGCTCAAGGAAAGGAACCAGCCCCAGAACCAGGAGGCAGGCAGAGTGCAAGCCAAGGACCAAACCTCGTGTCCTGATTGTCCCCAAACAGTAGCGGGCTGCTGTGTGAGGCAGGGTCTGTGATCACAGTGCGCGCGCACACACACACACACACACACACACACACACACACACGGACGTGGACACCCTGTCCTCGTGCCCCATCACAGCCTTCACGCCTGCAGCTGGCTCGGGGCTGCCCTCTGCCCTCTGCCCTCTGCATGTGGCCCTCTCACCACGAGACCTGGGACCCAGTTCACTGGACCAGAAAACAAAACACATTTATTGAGGCAAAGGCTGCAGGGATTGCTCTGCCCTCCCCGCGGTGGTTCAGGAGCTGGTGCAGGTTACTGTGTGCGCCCCAAGCTGGGTGCTGTGCTCTCGGCATAGGCCTGGCTCTCTCTCTCCACGAAGGCCTGGAAGAGGCTGCCCAGCTGCTGCGGCGGGGGGCTCCCCTCACCAGCGGCCAGCAGCCCCTGCAGGACTTTCAGGCCCTCCCGCTCCAGGTCTCGCTGCTTCTGCCAGAGCTGCTCTCCCCATGCCTGCTGGGAAAGCGGCCGGTGTGGGCAGGTGTGTCCCCTCCGCACAAGCAGGAGTCAGGGCCCTGGATGCTGTCCCAGGCAGCAGGCACCGCCACTCCCAGCCCCTCACGGTTCCAGGGTGCCAGGCCCCAGGTGTGGCCCTCCAAGACACCCCGTTCCCTGGGGTCACCTGCTCGGTCTCCATCCGCCCCAGGGCCGCCTGGTGTCCACGATAGAGCGCGTGTCTGCGGTCCACCTGAGTCTGGAATCGGGGCAGGGTCCGAACAGGGTCCTGGGCTCCAAAAGTGGGGGACAGCACCTGGGGGGCCTGGGCCGCCCCCACGCCGAAGATGAAAGGTTTGAACACCGACCTAAGGGGACAGGGGTGGAGGGACCGAGGAAGATCACATCCCGATGTCGCCCCTGCCTGGGACGCTACCCCCGCTCCCTCGTTCGTCCCACCTGGACGGGTCTGGGGTGGCAGTAAGGAAGTGGACACAGGGCTGCGCAGGATCCTGGGGCAGGACGGACACCATGCTGGCCGTGGTGCGGAAGCCCCCAGAGTCCATGCAGATGCCACTGCCCTTGTCCCTGAGAATGTCCATCATCGCCTCTGCCGTGATGGCCCCTGCAGAGCAGGACAGGGTGAGGCCCAGTGAGGCCAGCGCTGGGGGCCACAGCCCTGCCCCTCCTGCCCGGCCGACCTTGGCGTTCCTGCAGCAGCTCGCGCCCTGCCTGGAAGCGCGCCTTGGCCGCCTCCATGCGCACCGGCTGCTGGGACAGCGAGAAGACCTGGGCGAAGTCAAAGGAGCCCTGTCCGCCCCACCAGCCCTGGGCCCGGGCCTGGCTCCGAAGCTCCGGGTGCTCCGCGGAGATGTCGGCGCCGATGCTCAGCTGGTTGGAGAGGTTCCGGGCCCCCGCTGTGGAGGAGGGGAGCCCCGCCCTTACCACGGAGCACACACTCTGTGCCAGGCACTGGGTCGGTGCCTGCTTCTTGCGGAGAAGGGAGCATGCCGCCCGGGGAAGCCCAGAGGGAAGAGCATTCCTGCGTGGGTTCATTGCCCATCTGCCCGGCACTGGGATAGGGCCCCCGGCCCCGCTCCCCCGCCTCCTGAGGCTGGCCGAGGGGTGCAGCTCCAGGCCCCTCACCCGGGATCCTCTGAGCTGCCCACAGCCTCCCCGCCGTCTCCAGCACCCACGCCTCCGTCCGGTCCGCCAGCAGGAAGGTGTTGTGGTAGCAGAAAGGCTCTGGGTCCTCCCGGCAGCTGCCCCCCTGCCCATAGCGCTCCAGCAGGCCTGTGATCACCAGCATGGCCTCCTGGGCAGTGCTGCCCCGCTCTAATGCCAGCCTGGCAGAGAGGGAGAACAGAGGGAAACGGTGCCATCGGCGCCAGGGAGCGGAAGCTTCCCTGGACAGAAGGGGCCCAGAGAGGCCTGCTGTGTAGACCACACGGAGCACTCGAGGCCCATGCTTTCAGAGCTGTGCTCAGGGGTCCAGGGGAGAGGCCCAAAGCCAGCCGCAGGGACAGAAGTGCCCTCAGCCTCGCCTCGGGCATAGCCGCTCCATGATCACTCGTATAATGGGCTCTACAGGAGATTTCTTTCTTTCTTTCTTTCTTTCTTTCTTTCTTTCTTTTTTTTTTTTGGTCTCTGTGAGACAGGGTCTCGCTATGCAGCTCAGGCCGGCCTTGAGCTCACTTTGTATCCAGGCTGGTCTTGAACTGGCAACACACAAGTTCAAGGTCCTGTCTCAAAGAAGCCAACAACAACAAAACCAGTTTACAACTATTGAGCTAAATGCCGCCAGCCTATTTCTAGGCCGGGCCAGGCCGGGCTCTTTGTCAGCCCCTGGACACCGGGCTGGGAGGGAGGAGGGGCCGGGCGGCCTCTGTGGCCAGGCACAAGGACAAGGTCAGCCAGGGGAGGAGGCCAGCAGAAAGCGGACCGGGGAAGGCGGAGCACGGGAGACAGGAGGGAGGTCGCACCTGAGCAGGTCCATGCCCAGCAGGGCCTCGCCGCCCTGGACCGGCTCCCTGGTCCACACGGCCTCATTGCCAATGCAGACCCCGTGCTCGTTGGCGCCCATCTCAGCCCCCCACAGCCAAGAAGGGCGGCTCAGAACCACAGCATGGGTCTTGGGCACCTGGTCCACCTCGATGTAGGTGCACTGGAGAGAAAGGGGAAGGCCCCTCAAAAGGGGGCAGCACTTACCCCAGGCCTGCACCCTACCAGATCAATCACTTTCCACCCAAGGTCTTAGTCCCATTTTACAGATGAGCAAACTGAGGCCACAGAGGCTAAAGGACAGGCTCCAGCCTCAGGTTAGAAGGCTGGAAGCCCATACTCTGCTCTCCAGCTGGGAGCTCTCAGGGGCTGGGGGCAGAGGAAGGAGGTCTCCCAGGGCCCACCTGCAGCCGGCTCCCCGGGGCGTGCGTGCCTGCGGGCAAGAACACCACCTCCTGCACCTCCTCCCGGGGCCGGTCTGAGTTCTTGGCAAAGATCACCGCTGGGATGGCAGAGGCCGGGGGCACAGAGACAAAGCAGTCGCAGGAACAAGGGGTGTCAGGGCTCATCGACGCCATCTGCAGAGAGGTAGAGGGATGATCGTGTCCCCTACCCTGGGCCATCTCTCCAGGATCCTGAGGACACGGTTCTGTCCCCGTGCTCGAGACCCGCTCCACGAGTCCCACGCTCCTGAGCATGCCTAGAGAACGGCCCCTCCTCCGTTCGCCCCTTTTCGCGTCCCGAGCACCGTGCGCCCCTCACCCTTCCTGCCTCCAAGACCTCCAGTTCGGGCCCGGGAGCCACCTTCTCCGTTTCTGCTCCGGTTTGCCCCATTGGACAGAAGCTCCCAGGTGACCAGGAAGCGCCCTTGGCCCCATGGGCGGAGCCGGGACAGAACACGTGCCGTTCCGCCAATTGCCACCAGAGGGCGCTAGCCACCATTTCTTGGAGACCAATGGCTTTCCAAGTCCTGCGTGGCTCCGTGTCCTTTTGTCCCCGCTCTCCCTTTTTCAGGCCTGATAAAAGCTGAGGCAAATCCACAGGCTCATCCGATGGGGTCACAGGCAGGAGCTGGAGCCTGCGTTATAAGGGGGATTTGTAAGACAGCGGGGACTCCTGGGGCATCGGATGATTAAGAACCTCAGGTCTCTGAGTTCTGTCCTGAATTCCAAAGACACAGTCCCCATAAGCTAAGTGACAGGTCACAACCCAGGAGGCGTAAATTAATGGATTTAAAAAGGCACAAGTGGAGCTGGGGATTTAGCTCAGTGGCACAGCACCTGCCTGGCTAAGCGCAAGGTCGTGAGTTCGATTCCTGGTACGGGGGAGGGGGGAGGCACAAGGACACAGCTGCACAAAATCCATCGGATCCCAAAGTCCTATTCTGCCCCCATTGTGCTCAAGCCTATAGGATAGCGTTGAAATTTAGGGATTTCAAGTCCAGAGATTTGGTGCCTTTACATACAGTGAGGGCAAAGAAGTCCTGGCTGAGAGGGACACAGCGTTGGACTCTGATCTCAAATATCCGGCTTTGCAGTTCATTCTGCTCCATAACTGCCCCGCTGACATTTCATCAAATGCATCCACTACCCTCCTGCTCCCTGCAACCTTCCAGAATGGATGACGGGAGATGCTAGACTTCTAGACTCCCAGGGCTTGAAGACTTCTAGGGCTTGAAAGGCTTTCATTTGTTTTGAGATAGTGTCTCACTATGTAGTTCAAGCTGCCCTCAAACTCACTGTGCAACCCATCCTGGCCTGAAACTCAAAGTGACCCTCCTGCCTCAGCCTCCCAAGTGCTGGGATTACAGGTGTGTGTCACTTTCGGCTTTTAGATTGCTTTGGCATTTTAGCAACATGAATTCTTCCAGTCTATGACCATGGATATTGTTCTACTCTGTCTTCTTCAGTTTTTTTCATCAATGTCTTATTGCTTTCAGTGTACAGATCTTTGCCCTTGGTTAAATTTGTATCTGATAACACGATTTATAACTATGTATGTTTTGGGGGTGGCTTTGTCAGTAAGACTGTTTTCTTGATTTCTTTGCCAGGTATTTTGCTGTCAGTGCATAGAGATGGTGCTGATGAGCCTGGTGTGGTGGCTCCCCAGCTACTGGGACACAGGCTGGGTCAGGGATTGCTTGAGCCCAGGTTCGGAGGCCACAGTGAGCAAGAGAGAGAGTCTTAAGAAAGAAAATACTGATTTTTGTGTGTGGACTTTATGTCCTACAACTTTATTCATCGATTAGTTCCAGCAGTTTTGGGGTGGCATTTGGTCCTGAGATTATTTTTTGTATGGGAATCAAACTCAGGACCTGGAGCTTGCCAGGCTGGCTCTGTGCCACTGAGCTACATGTTCTATTTTTTTGAAAATAGGTTCTATTTTTTTGTTTGTTTTTGTCTTTTGGAGACAGGATCTCGCTATGCCTGCAGTTCAGGCTGGCCTTGAGCTCACTTTGTAGCCCAGGCTGGTCTGGAACTCACAATGATCCTCCTGCCTCAGCCTCCTGAGTGCTGGGATTACAGGCATGTGCCACCACGCCCGGCTTATTTTATTTTTTGAGACAGGGTCTCCCTATGTGGTTTGGGCTGGCCTCGAACTCACTGTGTGGCCCAGGCTGGCCTCAGACTCCTCATGGTGATCCTCCCGCGCCTCCCAAGTGCTGAGATGAGGGGCCTGCGCCGCCACCCTGGCTGGCTGCGGAGATTCTTCCCAAGCCTACACTGCCAGGATGCCCCGCGCGCGCGCGGGGACGCGGGGAACGTGACCGTCCTGCTCCATCATCAGGGAGGCGCTGGGAGGCTGTGATGAGGTTTCCATTGGATGTCGTTTCAGCGAGGTGTCCCGAGCCTGGGCGGCCGAAGGAGCCCCGCGGCGGAGGCGGAGGCCTCGCTGTCCCGGGCTGCGTCCGCAGGCTGCCCTCGCTCACGCTTCCTAATGCCTTTCACTCACCCTGGAGGGACTCCTCACACTTCCCGGGCGAGGCGCGAGCTCAGAGCTCACCCCGGGGGTCAGGGAACTGTGCCGCCTCCCCTAACTCCCCCTCAGGGTCACCCCGTGGGGCGCCACATCTGAGGGTTCCGAGGGGGCCCGACCGGCCAGCCAGGCCGCATTGCAGGCGAGCGCGCAATCCCGGAGCCCCACCAAGGCCCCCGCTAAGAATGCAGGTCAGCGGGAGGAGCTGCGGGGAGGAGGGCGCCCGGCCCGGCCCGGCCCTGCCCAGACTGGCCCAGCCGGCCCCGCAGCTGCCCGGTGTCCCGGGGGCGGCGACGGGGAGGAAGGTCGGGACTCACCCGGCTCCTGGGGTCTCACTCCCCGAGAAACAGGAAAACAAAGAGGAGCCCGGCAGGAGCAGGAGCGCGCAGGCCCTAACCCCCTGCCAGATTTGGCGGGGAAACTGGGTTAGCAGGAGAGTGGGGGGAACAGGACTCCCACTAGGGGAAGAGGAGAAATCTGGCTTAAAAAATACAGGAGGGGAAGGTGAAAGAACACAGCCAGCTCCGCTCGCACTTCCTTGGGAGCCCAAACCGGACCCTCCATCCACCGTCCCACTTGGGGCTACAACCCGAGGCTTTGTACTCACTTGACACGGCAGAGGCGCCCACAGCCGGCCTGGGAACCAGAGGGCCCGCGTGCCACCCAGGGCCGCGCAGGGGGTCCGCGAGGGCCACAGTTGTGTAACCCTGGCGGAGCCCTAGCTGCCGTGCAGCAGCACCCTTCTCTCACCCTTCCCCGCTGGGCAGGAGCCCATCAGATAGTGTGGCTGCCTTTCATCGCCTGGGCCCTGATAGGGATCACCCTGCGTGAAGAAATCACTGTCAGTCGCCCCCGCGTCACTCACAGCCAGAGGGCGCGGCCGACTTATCTGTCCCCGTGCCCCGGTGACTGCTGCTGCCGAGGGAGGAAGCCCCGGTGCTGGGAAGCAGAGGAAGGGAGAGAAAACTCTGGCGATTTCTCGTCCCGCTGGGTGAAGGCCAGGGAGAGACACCCAGGCCGTCCACCTGCCTTCCTCTGTCCCTCAGAGCACGCAGGGTCAGACCCCAGCTCTCACCGGACCAAATGGATGGCGCCGAGCCCAGCCAGAGGCTGCAGGGGCACAGCAAGGGTCCGCCTTCCCCCGCGACCCTGCGGCCCGCCCCTCGCTGCGGGGACACTGAGTATAGAACGGTGAAAACACGTGAGGCCAAGATGCTGCTGATGACTTTATTGTTGCATAAAAAACACAGGCTGCCGCTTCCTCCTCCTCCCCGCAAAGTGGGTTCACAGCAAAGAACAAAAATCCTACATTTTCCTCTAGGGGGGCCGCCTAGAAGGGCAAGCAGCCGAGAAACCTAGATCTAGAAGACAAGGGAGAAGAAAGAAAACCTATCCAAAGCCCCTGCCTGCAAACCTTAGGGCGCAGGGCTCCAGGAAGGGGAATACCCGTGCCCCCCGCCGCCGACACCCCTCTGCACGTTCCCCTCAGAACGGTCACTGAAAAGGCCGAGGTGGTGGCACAGGCAGGGGGCGGCGGTTTCGATGGGTGGAGGACAAAGGCAGCCCACACCCACGGCGCCCTCCTCTCTCCCCTCCGCTGGCCGGCAGCCTGCACTCTCCCTCCTGCCCGTCCTCCCGCCGGGAAGGAGACCCCGGGCTGGATTAGCAGGAGCTGGGAAAAAAGAGGGAGCACAAAGAAAGAAGCTAACTCCTCACACTACCCCAGGCCCCATCCCAGGGAACGCCACCTGCCCTTCCAAGGAGCCCTTTGCACACGAATTCCACCCCACTCCAGCCCCTGCTTCCCTTCGAGCTCCCAGTCCGTGGACCGGGCTCCAGCACCCCCAGACCTTGGACAGGGTGGACAAGATGGGGTCTCAGGCGACCCCAGGCTCAGTAGAGAAACACACACACACACACACTCACTCACACGTCCTAATATTAAATAAAATACCCTTTGCTTATAACTTAAAAATCAATACAAGCTAATCCCTGCAGAGGGCTCTGGGCGCAGGGGAACAGGAGACTGGAAGGTCAGAGGGATGACAGGCCTGCGCCTCAGGCCTGGGGGTGTCCCCAGCTCCAGGGGCCCCTGGTCTGCCAGACCCTCCCTGGTTCCTCTTCTCTCCCCTCTGCCTGGCCCAGCCTCCGCCGGGCTTCTCCCCTCCCCGTCCCGTCCCCGCTCAGAATCCATATATATTTCTAGAATCTAAAGGGCCGCGGAGGGACGGGGCAGCTTCCTGAATCCCTTCCCCGGGGGAGGTCAAGTCCTTCATACAGAAGGGGCGGGCGGACCCACAGCAGGGGCCAGGCACCCGGAAGTGTCAGGCCGGAGACCCGGGTTTAGCTTGCGGGCAGCAGGAGAGGCCGGGCAGGGGTCCTCGCTAGGAATGGGGAGTAGCTGGGAACCCCCTGCTGAGACCCAGGTCCAGGCCCTCTAGGCCCAGCGACCCCTCCCCAAGGGGAAGGTAGCGCATGGGCCCCACTGTAAGGAACGACATCAATTCTAGAGCCCTAATCACCGACCTAGGGCACAGGTGGGGCAAGGGAATCTGACTTTTTTAAAAGACCAAAGTGAAGCACTGAATCAGAGTGGGTGGAGGAAGGGGTTCGTTCCTTCCATTTCCCTTCCAAATCTCTTTCTCCCGTTTTTTTTTTTTTTTTTTTTTCTTTAAGAAGGGGGCCTCCGGCTCACCCCACCCGCCGCGCCGCCTCTCCGTCCTGCACCCACCGTTCTGGCTGGAAAACTGGCCCCTCTTCCTACGGGGCTCCACCAGAAGGATCCGGAAGGATCAACGGGGAGGCGACGTCAAAAGACCTACTTCTACATCCACAGCCTCCCAAGCTAGAGCCACCCCTACTAAGGGGACCCAGGCAAGGGGACCCCCGGCCGCCCAGCTCTCCCTCCGGAAACCCAGGGGCGGGAGCTCGGGGAGAGGATGAAAGCCGCCAGGCCGCAGGGCGGCTCCGCAGGCGCTTTTAAGTCGGGGTTCCCAGGCGCTTGGGGACGTGTCCAGACAGCTACCCCAGCGCCCCGGCCGGCCCCACTCAGCTCGGGGACGCGCCGTCCTCTCTCCCGCCGGCCCCGCCACCCGCAGGCGCGGGCGGGGGTGCCGCATCCCAGCCCCCCGGAAGGACGGAGGGGCTGGGCAGCCCCGTCCCGCGCGCTCCCAACGCTCACCCCTGGCGCCCGGCCCCCGCCCCGCCCCCGCCCAATAAATAACCACCTCCCCCTTACTCCAGCCGGTCCCCCCGGCGCCCCCACGGAGCCCGCGGGGAGGCGGCCCCCAGGGGCGGCTCAGTTGGAGGGCGCCGCGCTGCCCTCGGCCTCCCGCTTGCCTTTGCCCCCGGGCGGCTCCACCGCGCCCCCGGCCTTGGCCTCGCCCGGGCCCGCCCCGGCCGCCTCCTCCTTGGCGCCCTCGTGCGTCTTCATGTGCTTGGCCAGGTGGTCGCTGCGCATGAAGACGCGGCTGCACACGGCGCAGGGGAACTTCTTGGTGCCCGTGTGCGTCTGGAGGTGGCGCTGCAGCTCGTCGGAGCGCGTGAAGCGCTTGCCGCAGAAGAGCCAGTTGCACACGAAGGGACGGTCGCCGCTGTGCCAGCGCAGGTGCGCCTTCAGGTGCGACGTCTTGGCGTAGGCTTTCCCGCAGCCGGGGATGTGGCAGTTGTGCAAATGCTTCTTCTTGCTCCCGTCGGGCCCGCACGGGGCCCCCAGCCGCTCGGCCTCCATGCAGTTGGGGCAGCGACACACGGTCTGGCCCGAGCTGCGGGGCACCGATCGCCGGGAGCCCTTGGGTCGGGCCGCCGGGTCCAGACTGGAATCCAGCCCTTGGGACTCGGACGCGGCCGCTTCCAGGGCCTTGGCTCCGTCGGGCGGCCCCAGGAGGTGCTGCCCCCCGGCGGCCGGGAGGAGGTGGTGCGGGTGCGGGTGCGGGTGCGGCGGCGGGGCGCAGAGCTGGTGGTCGCCGACGTAGCCCCCCAAGCCAGCCTGGAGCGCCCCCGGGTGGCCGGGCGAGGCGAGCGCGCCCTGGGTGTGGGGGAGGTCCATCCAGCTGGTGCCCGGATGCAGGTCCCACCACGAGCCGTCCTCCGCGCCCGGGTGGGTCGGCCGGAACCACGATTCGTAATGGTGCGACATGTCCGGCTGCAGGAGCTTGGAAAAGGGTCCCGGGGTCAAGGGACTGTCGCTTTCCAGGTCCTCGCAGGTCACCCGTGAGGAGGCCCCCGGCAGCTCATAGCCCTGGGAGAAGTCCACCTCCGGGCCCAGCGGGAGGCTCTGCAGCTCGGCCGGCTGCAGCGGGGAGGGGTAGTCCCCGGCCTCCGGGCTCGTGTGGCCTTGGTACGTCTGCAGCGGCTGCAGGTCGAGGCGCGGCGGGGAGGCGTGAGGCGCGTCCGGGTGCTGGCTGCCCAGAGAGCCGCAGACAGCGGTTAGCATTGCCGGGGTCCGGGTGGGGTGGGCGGGGACGGTCAGGGGCACCTCAGGAGAGACCTGCGGGAGGCAAAGAGGAGGCGCCGTGAGCAGAGAGCCGCCGCGCTCCGTCCGCACTCGCACTCGGATCCTCCGCCAGCGAAGGGCTCCGCTTCGGCCCCCCAGGTGCCAAAAGAGGGTTGGGCTCCGGGCGGGACCAGAGCTGGGGACGGCTAGCGAGGGTTGCAGAGCTGAGCTTGCACCAGGGCACAGGACCGCCCTTCCTCCGGGCGACCCTGCCCACCGACCGAGCGGACCCCAGGGCCTGGGTCACAGTGCTAGAGACGCCCCCACCCCAGCCGCCAGGCCAGCGCCAGCCCCGGGGCCATTTCTCCGCCGCAGACTGGGTGCCGTCGGGAGAAGGCTGCAGGCCCCTCAGCACGCCCAGCTCAGCTCGGGGCACAGCTGGGGAGAGGGCGCCGGCCTGAGGAAGCCTCTAATTTCAAACGGAGAGGGGCGCTGCGCTTCTCGGCGCAAAGCTGAAGGCGCCTGCCCCTTCCGAAAGCCCCAACGGGCCGAGTGTGGGGAGCAGCCCTCGGTGCCGGGGGCAGGCTGGGCGCGGGGGCGCATGTCACCTCTCGCGGCCCCCCACGCCCACGCTCGGCCCCGCTCCTTCCCCGGGGCACGGTCTTCACCTCCCCGGGGTGCAGCTGCAGTGCGGGTTTCTGGGGAGTCGCCCCCCCCCAGGCTGGAGAAAACCCAATTCCCCCTCCCTCTCCGGACCCACACGGGGCCACCACTCTCTGGCGCTGCCCACGCGCTTCTCCAAACCAGGGGAGACCCGGACAGGATGGGGAGCGGGTCGGACTCCCCTGGGAAAGCTTGCGCTGGCCAGGGAGCTCAGGACCAACGACTGCCACCCCCTCTGGGACGCAGGGTCGCAGCGGAGGAAGAGGAAGGCAGCAGGAGAAGCCATAATCTCCTTGCCTCACCGCGGGAACTGCCTACAGGGGTTACATAAGGGGTGCGCCCCGTCCTGGGTACCTCTTAGGGGCTCCCCTGATGATTCTAACACGCAGTCAAGCGTTGAGAACCACTGTTCCGGGCCAACCCTCTTACTGTATTATTTTTCCAACCCTCTTTATTTTTTAAAAAAAACGAGGCCGAGGTGGAATTTGGAGCCGTGACTGGACCAACCCTGTCCTTTATTGTTCGGTCGGCACCAGGTACTGCGCGGCGCCCGGGAGCGCGGCCCCCCGCCTCCTGCTCTGTCCCCCGCCCGGAAACCCGCGGGAGCCCGCAGACCCCCGCGCCTTCCTCAACGGACCTGCGACCTAAGGGCCCCCTCTTCTCGTCCTCTCTCCGCAAGACCTGGAGGCCCCTCCACCGGTCGGGGTTTTCTCTGAGGCTGCAGAAGGCCGGCGATTCAGGGCACTGTCTTCCCCTCCCTGCAGCAGGGCTCTACTGATCCAACCACCTTCTGCCCCGGGACCGGGACCGGGAGGTGGCGGATCGCCTGGGAGAGGCCGGGAGAGGAGGGCTGGGGCGCCTACTCAGGCTCCGGCGGCCTCACCACAAGAAAGGAACAGGGCGAAGCAGCGGGAGCGGAGCCTTAGGCCGGGGCGGGGCGGCCCAGAAGGGGCTGGGCGCGCGGAGAGGCCTGGGACCCTAATAGCTCGTGGCGCCTGGGAACGGCCCCGGGGGCTGGGGGATGGGCGGCTGGGGGCCTCTCCCGAAGGGAGCCCGGCGGCCCGGGGCTGGGTGCGATGGCTGCTCCCAGGTTTCGGGACGGCGGAGTGGGGTGCGCCCCGCGCCCCCGGAAGGCGGGTGGAGACGCCCGAGCGGCTCAGGCGGCTGCCGCCCTCCATCCCCGCCGCGCAGGCGGTCGGGACCTCCCTCCTCTCGGTCCTGAACTTCCAATTCTCAGGGCGTCCCAGTCGCTCCAGTTTCCCCAGTTTTAGCCTCCCCGACGCCTCCAGTTTCTCCCGTCCGCCCGGTTTTCCCCGGGCCCGGGCTCCACGTCCCCTCCGATCTCTCGGGGCCACCCCGCTCCCGCGTTCGCAGGAGGCCGCGGCGCGCGTCCCCGGCCACCCGACCCGACCCGGCTCCTACCTGGGGGCTGCGCTCGGGCTCCGCGGGCGCGCGCTACAGACC